TGGGAGGAACAGGAGGGAGGAGGGGAAGGCACCCAGGGATCTCGGATGTGCTCCACATGTTGTCGTAACCTTTCGTGATATTCTGTGAAAAGCGGCTCGGGGGTTCCGGAAAGGGGAGGGGGAGGAGGAGACGGCAGAGGAGAAAGACGAGGCGGGGGCGAGGAGGGGAGCGAGGAGGAGGAAGGACAAGGAGGGGACGACGAAGACGAGAAGGCCCCCTTTAGGCAAACAACACAAACATCAATGTCAGGGGGTCCGCGCGAAATTCGCGGGTCGGAGCTGAGCCCCCCCCCTCCCTGGCGCGCGGAGCGCGCCATGGGCCGGCGCCGGAGGCGTCGCCGAGGTGGGTCCAGCGCCTAGACAAAAAGCAGCTCGGACCTCCGAAAGGTTATGCCTGCGCCGCCTTTTGTTAGTCAGCTCTCCCTTCCACGCATTCCCCTGCTGCAGTTGTGCCCGCTCACACTTCCAGGACCAGACGGCGTCGAATCGTTCATGAGAGACATGGTCTAACCGCCCTGGTAAGTGGTCCACCGCCACTTTCATGGCATGCACAGCTCAGTCAACATGGGGGTGAAATCGTTCATCGAAGAGGCTACTCGCCGATGAATCAAGTTCCGTGAAACACTCAATTGACAATATCTTGCTCGATATCTCACCTCGGGAAGGACAGCCGTATGAGTGCTTGGAGACGCTGGTTGACATCATTCTTCAGAACCGTAGAGGTTTCCGTAAAGGTCCTCTTGGATACGACTGGCATCGTCACGCAAAGCTGCCGCATTGGACGACAAAATGTCATGAAGAGCTCGGACCTGCCATTCGACGGCGCAGTTGTCCAAGAATGCGCGCATCACTAGCCTCTGTAGTCGACCAAAGCTGCTGAAGCCCCATCTCCAGAGAACATCGGCGTGGACAGCGCGCACTTGCTGGGATCACGCCTGATCGACCTTGGTGACGGTCTGAGCCACGAGTGGGCGATCGAACTAAGCGCATCTGAACGTCAACAGCGCATGGCCCTTTGGTGAGAACGGCACGAAGAATCGTGGATTCACTGACCAGTAGGTGTTGTCTGGTGAACAGGGAACCGCTGTCTTTCAATGTAGGTTGCAACCAGGTCTCGCAGCTCAGCCATGCTGTTCGTGGTCACTGAGGGCTGTGACGGACTGCGGCTGGTAGCATCAAGGGCCTCCAGGTCCTAACGCGAGACCTCTCTGTGCGACACTCTGCCGTCGTTCGGATGGAGTAAGAGCGACGAACATATCCGTATCCGCGCCCTTGGTCTGGATTCCAAGGCGCGATCCCACGGATCCGGTCGCACAAACACGTTCCGCGCGGGGCATCCGCAAAAAGCGCCCCGTATCCGCGGGGTCGCGGCCCAGGGTCCCGGCCCGCGAGGCCGCGGATACGGATGAGTTTTGCGCCTGCGAGAGGTGTCTCGCACGTAGTCAGCCTGACCAAGCCTCGACGGCAGGGACTCGTTCCATCAATGGGACGGCAAATACCGCCGATAGGGGTGGTGGCAGATGTGTCCGTGTCCCCCATCGCATCGCTAACAAAGGTTGCCCCTGGCGTAGGAGTCGGAGAGACTGACCCCACACCCCCAGGATGGACGGGGGTGGGAGTAGAGCAACAAGGCGTAGGCGCCATTGGTTGGTCCCAAGCTGGGCCACCAGGAAGATCACTTTGGGATCAAATCCCAGCAGTGCCTCAAGGTCGTGATGTGGTTGTCGCGTCACAAGAGAATGATTCGCCGCCAGGCGGCGGGGAAGCCGCCACCGGCGGAAGATTTTCACGTGTGGGGCGAAGCCTGACCTCGTGCAGCGTGAACAACCTGAGCGTTGAGAGCGAAAGAAATGAGGGTGACAACCTGAGCTCGGGGAGATATGTGAAAGGAACCCGATATCCGTAATAGAAGGACAGTTTTGATAATCTCCACATAACAAAGTTGGCCCTCTGCCACTTTCAACACCTGAGCCAAGACAGCGGCAGATGATATGAGAACGAATGATGGGGTGCACGCTAGAATTATGCGCGCATTTCGAGCGCGCTCAGGTTCTAGTCCGGGAATTGTTATTTACATTCTCACTTACCAACGTCTCCCGCAGGCAGATGTGACAGCATGCGGGGAGGGAGCACTTGACACAAGAGTTGGAAGAGGCCTCGAAGAGAGGAGGACACCTCTGCTCTATCCAGCGTTTCCTTCTCCTGCTCTTCCCTTCTCCTGAGGGGCAACGATAGGGGGACTGGCATACGGGGGGAAACATCGACCTGGAATCGGCGATACATCGCGGATAGATCGGCGATAGGCATCCGATATCAAATCCGAACGTTCCTGGGCGGGCTGGCGCTTTCAGACGCCTATCGGCGATCAATGGGCGATTGGGGGTCGATCCATCCCCCCCTACATGCCCAGGAGGAGGAGGAGGAGGAGGAGGAGGAGGAGTGAAAGGAACAGGAACAGGAACAGGAACAGGAGGAGGAGGAGGAGGAGGAGGAGGAGGAGGAGCAGGAGGAACCGCCTCGCCCCTATGTTTTTATCTACCCCCTCCAACCCTTGATCTCCCGTTCCCTCCTCCTGCTCCTCCCTGGGACCGCCGGCGCGCTGCGCACGCGCGCGCTGAGGTGCTAGCGCGTGGGAAAGCAACGTCACGTCACAGTGGGTGCACGCCACGACCTCGCCTGCGGTGCAATTCGCCAACGCCTTGGGGCTCCCAGGCGCGTGAAATGGGTCGCCCCTCCCCCAGGAACCCAATCCAGCCGATCTGGAGGCACGGAAGAGTTCCCGCGGACTCCGCTGGCCCAGCGAAGCTCTCAAGCGTCCCAGACTGATCCAAGAACAAACCATCGAAAGAAAGAGAGAGAGAGAGAGACAACAAAATAAAGAGAGGGAGGGAGAGAGAGAGAGAGAGACAAATAGAGAGAGTCAGATAATACGACAGAGAGAAAGAGAGAGAGAGAGAGACACACACACACACACGCTGGTTTTGGCGCCGCGGCCTCCCGCGCAGCGACGAGGCGTATGAATTCCACCCGGGAGGGACACAGAGAACGCGCGCGGCCGGCCCCAGGAGATGGGGCAGAAATCCGGCCATGAGTCAAAGGGGCCATTTGCATACACAACACACAAATCCATATCTATAGGTGTATACGTATGTACAAAGATGTGTATATATATATGTGTGTATGCCCTGAGCGAGAGAGGAGAGGGAGGGGGGACAGAGAGAGGGAGCGAGACACAAAAAAACAACCAACGGTAACATCGGTTCTGATTGCGTACAAGCACATGAGAAGTAGAAGAGAGAGAGAGAGAGAGAGAGAGAACAAACATGACAGAAAGAGAGAGAGAGAGTAAGAAGAAGAGGGAGAGGAAGAAACCGCCGCGTATACATATCTACGACTCTATAAGACTCACAGGTCTCTCTATATACATGTGCACATACATGTATGTATGCACAGAGAAGAGGCCAGAGAGGAGACGGAGAGAAGGACAGACCGAGGAATCACGGCGGCTTGGCCTGTGACCCAGGGGTCCAGGGTGACGTCGCACACCTCGAGGGCGCGCCCGCGCCCTCGCCGCCCCCTCCCCCCGCCCCTCCCCTGCTCTCCTCGCCGCTGCCCCCCCCAGAGGATGATGAGGATGATGAGGAGGAGGAGGAGGAGGAGGAGGAGGAGGAGGAGGAGGAGGAGGAGGCGGAGGAGGCTGCCCTCGACCCTCGAGGGCGGAGGGGCGAGGCTGCCGGACGCTCTGGCCCGTGCTCGGGCCCCGGGAGGCCTCCCGAGGCCCCCGGGGGGGCCGCGGAAGGGCACCGTGGGGGTCCAGCTCCCGGGGGCGGCGGCACGACTTGCTGGCGCCTCGCCCCTCCCCGCCCCCGCCCCTCGCCTCTCCCCTGCCCCCCGCCCCTGGCTCCTGCTGCTCCTCCCCGCCTCCCCGTTTCCCCCGTCGCTGCTCCTGCTCCCCTGCCGGCGGGCGCTTTTCCACTCGGCGTCGACAGTGGGCGGAAAGGGGGGAGGGGGGGGTCTGGCTCCGGACCTCTGCCTGGTGTTACTGTTTGCGACAGTGCGTCCAATAGCTCGAAACAGGCGCCGAAAAAACAGCCAAGATCTACTCCATGGGGGGGAGGGTGGGGGGGGGCGAGGGCCCGCGCCGATCGGCAAAACAATGAATAAAAAACGATCACCTGCTCCTGCTCCTCGCGCTGCTCCGCCCCTCTCCGCATGTCCCCCCTCTACTCCCGCTGCTCCTGCTGCTGCTCCACCTCCCCCCCCCTCCCACGCCGTGGCCTGCGGTTCCTTCCCTCGTTCCGCCACCCTCCTTCGTCCCATCCTGCTGCTGCCCCGCTTCCTTTTCCATGACCCTCTCCCTTCTGTCCTCCCCCGCCGACCCCTGCTCCTCCTGCAGCTCCCGCCCCCTTCCCTTTCCTCCGTCTTCCATCCTCCGCCTCCGCCTTCCGCCCTCGGTCCTCCTCTTCCTCCTCCTCCTCCTTTTCCTCCTCCTCCTCCTCCTCCTCCTCCTCCTCCTCCTCCTCCTCCTCCTCCGCTCCACCTGCTTGGATAGCGGGGCCCCGCCAAGGACTCGGGGATAGCTGGGGCACCCCCGCAAGTCAAAGGCCGACGGCCGAATGGAAGGCCAGTGCAGCCGGATGGCTGGGTCGCGCATACACGGGCGACCACCCCCGGGACTGGCGGAGGGCGGTGGGGGGGCTTTGGGGGGGCCGTCGGGGTCTCTCTCCCCACGGGGTGGGCGGGGCGGCGGGTGGAAAGGGGCCAGGATGCCCCCCACCCCCCCATGGCTTGAGGTCTCTGGCATTGTCCCACAAGGCGGCGTGCGAAGGGGGGACATGAGAAAGAGAAGGTCCTATCAGAAGGCAGCGGGGCTTCTCAGAAGCCCTCCGGCCTTCTGAGGAGTTTCCTGCATTTTCGGGGAAGCCTGGGCTTAGAAAACTTCCCAGAAGGCCGGGGGACTCCCGACCCTTCTGAAAAGGCCCGCCCCTTCTCACTTCCCCACAGGCGCGCCGCCGACCCGCGTTGAACGCATGATAAAGGCCCCCCGCTCCCCGCTTGAGGAGCGTTAGACCAATGTGAAACGACGCGCGAACTACAAGCGAAAACTGTTCGACGGTCAGCCAACGACAACGACGCGCGTTTCAGTGCGAAAGGCGCGCTGCTGCTATGTTCAATGGCGTTTGAATTTGGCGTTTCCTTGCGCTGGTACACGGTCAATGCCCAGAATCACTGTGGACATGCGCGCTCGTGCCAAGGCAAAAACCAATGGGCGCGTCGGCCCTTGGCGGCGCTGACAAGAGCCCCAGGGGGCGCCCATGGCCCGCCCTGCACGGGCGCGCATCGAAAAGCTTAGATCCACACCGAAAAACAAAGTTTAGGCGTTTAGGCACCAGGCATGCACAAATATATAAACACGATAAAAAATCGATCTAACTGTCTCCGAAGCAAAAAGTCTCGCGCGGGAAAGCCCCGAAAAGTACATATGAACAGAACAAAGGTGTTTATAGAAACGCACACATAAAAACTTACATAAGACCAGTTGCCTGAAGAGAAACGCTCCCGAGCTAAACTTCCGTCGGCAGGGTTATGGGGGGGGCTACGGAGGCGGGTGCGCGGGCCCTCGGCTGGGCCGGCGGCGCCGCCGTGCGAGGGGCAGCGCCACGGTCACCTCAAACTGCATGCCGCCGTGGCACGCGCGGCCCTGGGAATGCCAGCGCGGGCGCAGCCGCGTCGAGCGGGCCCAGGATATCGTTGCGCGCGCGGGGCCCCCCTGCGGCAGCTGGCAATGGTCTCGCCGACAGGGCGCCTACACTTACGCTCATTCGCCGTAGATGCAAAACGCTGACATGTAAAATCCATAATTGTGCGGGCTGGGGTCGGATTCCCACTGCTCACGCGTGGTGCCCCTCCCTCTCCAGGGGCACCCGTGTCGGCCGCGGGAGCGACCGCGGGCGGAAGTACGACCCGCCGCTCCGCTCTGCCAGGCCGCAGCAAGCTGGGCACCACGTCGGGACGGCCCGCTCTCCCCGGCCGCGGACCCCCCGCCAAGCCCCCATGGCTGGCTGCCAAACCCCGATCGGGGGTGGCAGGGAGCGCAGAAGGCCCAGGTCCCCCCGAGTTTGGCGCGAGGCGCCCCCGCCACGCCTTCGGGGCGGCGGGGTGCGGTGCTCCTGGGCACGGCGTGGGACGACAACCACATGACGAGGACGAGGACGAGGCCGAGGACGAGGCCGACGACGAGGACGACGACGAGGACGACGACGACGATGACGACCATGACCACGATCATGACGACGACCACGACCACGACCACGACCATGATCTCGCCGACGACAACGACCATGACTACGACGACAATTAATACGACGAAGACGACGACGACGACCACCACCACCACCACGACGACCACGACGAAGACGACGACGACCTGTGCTGTGCCATTCGAGTGATTGTTCGCGTTGGGCCCAGGGCGCTCCTGCGAGGGGCGCAGCCTCGAGGGCCTCGGAAATTGAGGGGACCGGCGCGCCCGTCCGCGGGGCAAAGCGCGCCGCGAGATCTTCTCGCGAGCGGTGTGCCACCCCGGCTGCTGGCGCGAATGGCCGTTACCCTGCACAGGGTCTGCACAGAATCCTCCGCCTCCTCCTCCTCCTCCTCCTCCGCCTCCTCCTCCTCCTCCTCTTTGGGACCGCCGTCCCTCAATGTCGTAGTGTTCCAACCCCTGGATGACTATAGGTCCCCGCTCTGCTTGACGCTGCATATGCAACATCTACGGTAAACAGAATCGGCATCGTCATCATCATTAGCTTCCTCCTTCTCATCAGCGCATCGTCAGTCAACATCAAATCGGGAAGTTCATTCACACCATAATGTGCGACGGATCGGGCTGCATCGGCACGGAGTCAAAATCAAGTCAGATCGGCCACAGAGCTATGCAAGCATCAGGCAACATCGGATCGGAACATCGGATCCGACTCGGACCGAGCTGGCCTGAACCGGTACATGTGTAAATATTTGTATATATACACACATCGAACCGGCTCGATCGGATCGAAAAGGGCGCTGCCATCAACGACAATCATCACTGCAAGCATCATCCTCGTCCTCAACATCCTTCTCATCATCACCTTTTTCGTGCGCGAGGCCGCTCACCCCATAGATCATCACGACGTCCATCGCCACTCGGCCTTGTCACTAGGCCAGCAAACGAGCGCTGCTCGCAAGTGCTGTGGGCAGCATTGCGCAAGCAACGCTTGTTCAACGGGCTTCATTTCTGTTTGGAAAGACGCACACATGTGTGTACGCGGCACACGTAAACATAACAACACAACGCCTGATCATAATGATCCTGGAGTCCGTGGGTCCCGTGGGGATCGCTTGGAAGGCCTCTAGGAAGCCACTTGAAAGCAGTATCGGGGTGGCTTTGGGCCTCTCAGGGGGCCCCCCAAAAGGTCCCCAAGACACCTCCAAACCGCATCCTAGAGGCTTCCGAGGGACAACCCA